TTTACGTATGTGTCTGTCTTTACGTATGTGTCTGTCTTTACACATGTGTCTGTCTTTACGTATGTGTCTGTCTTTACACGTGTCTGTCTTTACACGTGTCTGTCTTTACACATGTGTCTGTCTAACATTGTCGTGTGTCTTTAAGTATGTGTCTGTGTCTTTAAGTATGTGTCTGTGTCTTTACGTATGTGTCTGTGTCTTTACACATGTGTCTGTCTTTACGTATGTGTCTTTACGTATGTTGTCTGTACACATGTGTCTGTTCTTTAGTATGTGTGTGTCTTTGTGTCTGTGCATGTGTCTGTCTTTACGTATGTCTGTCTTTACGTATGTGTCTGTGTCACGTATGTGTCTGTGTCTTTCGTATGTGTCTGTGTCTCTTGCGATCGTAGTGTCTTGCGTATGTGATCTGTGTCTTTGCGTTATGTGTCTGTGTCTTTGCGATGTGTCTGTGTCTTTCTATGTGTGCGTATGTGTCTTGTGTCTTTGCGTATGTGTCTGTGTCTTTGCGTATGTGTCTGTGTCTTGCGTTATGTGTCTGTTGCGTATGTGTCTGTGTCTTTGCGTATGTGTCTGTGTCTTTGCGTATGTGTCTGTGTCTTTGCGTATGTGTCTGTGTCTTTGCGTATGTGTCTGTGTCTTTGTCCTATGTGTCTGTTGTCTTTCGTATGTGTCTGTGTCTTTGCGTATGCGTATGTCTGTGTCTTTGCGTATTGTGTCTGTTGTCTTTGCGTATGTGTCTGTGTCTTTTGCGTATGTGTCTGTGTCTTTGCGTATGTGTCTGTGTCTTTGCGTATGTGTTTCGGTGTGTGCTTGCTTGTCTTTGCGTATGTGTCTGTGTCTTTCGTATGTGTCTGTAGTCTTTCGCGTATGTGTCTGTGTCTTTGCGTATGTGTCTGTGTCTTTGCGTATGTGTCTGTGTCTTTGCGTATGTGTCTGTGTCTTTGCGTATGTGTCTGTGTCTTTGCGTATGTGTCTGGTTCTTTGCGTATGTGTCTCGTGTCTTTGCGTATGTGTCCTGTGTCTCGTATGTTGCTGTGTCTTTTATGTGTCTGTTGTCTTTGCGTAGTGTCTGTGTCTATGTATGTGTCTGTGTCTTTGCTATGTGTGCGTGTCTTTGCGTATGTGTCTGGTGATGCTTTGCGTATGGTCGTGGTGCTTTGCGTAGTGTGTGCGTGGTCTGTGTCGTTTGTGGTATGTGCTCTTGTCTGGTGGCATAATGTGGCTGTCTTTGGCGTAGTGTGCCTTGTCTGTTGCGTTATGTGTCTATGTCTGTTGGGTATGTCTGTTGTCCTTTGCGTAGATGTTCTCTGCTTTATGTATGTGTCTTGTCTGTGGGACTATGTCTGTGTCTTTCGTTTTTGTCTGTCCTTTACTTATGTGTCTGTGTCTTAGTGTACTGTTCGGTGTCTTTACGGTATGTTGTCTGATGTCTTTACATATGTTGTTTAGGCTGTGTACTTTGACGTATGTGGTCTGTCTTACGATATTTGTCTGCTGTCTTTACGTATGTGTCTGTTCTTTACCGTATGTGTCTGCGGGGAAGAGTTGCAATGGTCGTTTTACATATGTGTCTGTGTCTTTACCGTATGTGTCTTGTGTTTGTCGTATGATGTTCCTGTGTCTTTTACTGTATGTGTCTGTCTTTACGTATGTTCTAGTGTCCTTTACGGTGATGTTCTGTGTGGCTGTACGTATGGTCTGTGGTCTTTACGTATTGTCTGTGTCTGTTACGTATGTTCTGTCTTGTACGTATGTGCCTGGTGTCTTTACAGAAGTGTTTGTGGCTTTACATATGTGTTGTGTCTTTACGTAGTATGTGTCTGTGTCTTGTACAGTATGTGTCTGTTCGTTGTACGTCATGTGTCTGCTGTCTTTACGCATGTGTTCTGTGGTCTTTACGTAATGTGGATCTGTGGAGTTCTTTACGTATGTGTTCCGGTCTTACGTATGTTCTCGCTTGTCTTTACGTCATGTGTCTGTTTATGTTCTTTAGATATGTGCTGTCTTCTCCATGCTTGCCTGTGGTGCAGTGAGTGGATGTCAGTTGGGTGTGCTGTGTTGCGTGTGCATGTGTTGCGTGTGGTGTGTGTGCATGTATGCATGTGTGTGCTGTGTGTGTGTGTGTGTTGTGTGTGTGTGTGTGTGTGTGATGTGTTGTGTGTTGTGTGTGTGTGTGTGTGTGTGTGTGTGTGGTGTTGAGTGTTGTGTGTGCTGCGTGAGTGCTCTGTGGAGTATGAGGAATCATGTGTGTGCGCGCGCGCTGCAGGAAGGGAGGTAGGCTAGAAAGGTAGAGTGAGTGATTGAGAGAGATGAGAGAGAGAGATGAGAGAGGAGAGAGAGAGAGAGAGAGAGAAGACGAGAGAGAGAGAGAGAGCAGAGAAGAGAGAGGAAGAGAGAGAAGAGAGAGAGAAGAGAGAGAAAGAGAGAATTGAGAGTGAGAGAGAGAGAGAGAGAGAGAGGAGAGAGGAGAGAAAAGACAGGAAAAGGAACAGAAAAAGCGAATGAAAGGGAGAACGAAATAAAGTGAGAGAGCGAAAGTAACCAATAGAAGGCGGGAGAGGGGGGGGGGGGAGGGATTACGGCTGGATTTCCCCTCACTTAACTCGTAAAGCATCTGGGGGGAACACCGTGTTGGCGGCGGACTGGATGTGGGGGGGTGTGGTGTGCATAATTGAAGGAGCGTGAGAGGACTAATATCAAGTAATAAAGTAAATATTGATGATGATGATAATAACAACAATAATAAGAACAATTACAGTAATAATGACAATAACTGGGCATGTGACAAGCCGAAAGCAATAAAATTAAGAGAAAAAACCGACACGGAAGAGGAGGAACCAGAAGGGAAACTAACCCTGAGTAGTAACTGAAGGAGCCCGACTTGGGCCTGTCGACCGCTAGCGCCCTGAAGTGGTCGTCCTCGAGCTCGGCGACCTCCTCGTCCTCCTCATCGTCGTCGTCGGCGCCGCGGTCGCCCCGGCGGTCGGGCGCCTCATGCCCCACCCTCGGGCCGTCGCGACCCGCCCCAGGGATGTACTCGAAGTCGTCGGTGCTCGACTCGCCCGCGCACTCGACGAAGGCGTAGGGAACGAGGCCTGCGGCGGCGTGGTGTCTGCGCGGGGTGGCCGGGCGCCTCCCTTTGCCCTTGCCCTTTCCTCGCCTCCCTTCCTCTTCCTCTAATTCGTCCTCCTCCTCCCAGGCCGAGTGTTTGGAGGGCTTCCCGACGGCGAGGCTGCCAAGGTTCCGCCGCTCCCTGAGGCCTGCTTCTCGAGGATCCGCCTTGGCCTCCGGCGAGGCGCTGAAGGAGGCGTCGCCCTCGTTGCCGTTGACGTCCCTCCGCAGGGACCGCCGCGCGCTCTTCGGCGTGAGAATATACTGGATCTCCCTTGTCACATCGGGCAGTTTCTTCCGCCAGTAGTTGAAGTTGTTGAATTTGCGCGTCCCCTGAGGAGTCTCCTCGCGCTGGCCCCTCTTGGCCTCCCTCCGCCTGTCCCTCCCGTCTACGGCCTTCCCTTCACTCGCACTCGGCGCCCCGTGAGCACTCCTCGGGCGGACGTTGCCCTCGAAATCGAGATAGTCGTCCGTGCGTGTCGGGTCTCCTCCCGGACGGGGTTTGTTGTCGTCCGAAGGTGACGTCACGGCCGAGGGGAGGGGGGCTCTCCCCTCGGGCCCTCTGGTGGCCATCCTCGCAAGCCGCTGCCAAACAGAGGTTGCCGATTAACTCAAGTTTATTGCAATCAAATTGTTACTTTATTCGAGTAACCAATGTAAATAACTATACTGTGAAAGAGTATTTGTTAGATTAAAGTTGTGACAGACGCTATTTGCAAGCAGATATAAAAATCGATAGCGGCAAAAGTTTAACCCACCCTCTTCCCGATAGGAAAATATACTACAAGCGCACAAGTATCACCTCTTTGAAAATAAAAATAAAAACAATAAATTCCGAAACCTCATCAAAAAACTACCACATAACAAAAACAACAACAACAAAAGAAATGGGCTAACGAAAACGGCAAAACAAAAGCGACTCACGTTGCGTGGCTGCGGATCAATAGTGCGGCTGCGCGGCAACGGGAATTTTAAACCCGGTCGCGATGGCGTGTCTGTTGCGGGGAAATAAAATCATCATCATTAAACAGAAAACAAGTATATGGTGGTCCTCTTAAAAAAAACAAAAAAAAAAAAAAAATTGACGCGACGAAGAGTGTGAGGGATTAAAAGGATAAATGGATCAGTATTTAGGAAGATACGGAGCTGAAACATTTTTGTGATATTCGTTTCAGCGATAAAGTGTAACACAACAGACATATATAACATGATCTTTATTTTAAAAATCCAAACCAGAAATAAAATAAAAAAAAAGGCGAAAACAAATCAGAAAAAAACGACAAAGCAGCAATACAAAATATGCAAAAACCTGCTATATAAAACCAAACAAATAAACTTTGTAAAACATACCTTACGTACACTCCAAACATCACACAAATACAAAAAAAAAAAAAAACACAAAACAAAAACAAGCAAATGGGGTGTCTATCATATGCAAGACAAACAAAAAGAGCATGTATGTAAACCATTATTATAAGCCTATAAATAAATTCAAAATTGTATAAAGAATACGTAGAGACATAGAGGATTGAAAGAATACGAAAGAGGGAGGGGAAGGATGAAGAAAGAAGGGAGGAGAAGTTGAAGGAGAAACACGAGAGGGAAAAGGAGAGAAGGGAAGGAAAGAGAGCACGGACAAGAGAAAGGAAGAGGTGGTGAGGACATGAGTAAAAGAGTAGAGGAAGAAGAGAAGACGGAAAAAGGAGAGAAGAGAGAAAACGAGAGAAGAGAAAGAGAAAGAGAAAAAGGACATACATACGGAAGAGACAGCCAGAAAAATGGAAAAAAAGATATGCATACAACATACATTTTATTACATATAGAAAATGGGGGGAGTGAAGAGAAATGCCCGGAATTGACCACTGGGGGAGAGGAGAGGGACTGATGAGAGAGGTGAGGAAGTGCATTAAGAAGAAGGAGAGGAGAGCAGAGAGAGAGAGAAGAGATAGAGACGAGAGAGAGAGAGAGAGAAGAAGAGAAGATGAGAGAGAGAAGGGGAGACAGAGAGAACAGAGACCCAGAGAGAGAGACTGAGAGAGAAAAGGAATGGGAAGTGATGCGTGAGAAGATGAGAGAGAGAGAGAGAAGACGAGAGATGAGAGAGGAGGAGAGGAGACAGTACGAGCCGAACGTATTCCCAGGTGGATGACGAGAGAGAAAGGAGAACAGAGAGAGAGACAGACAGAGAAAGAGAAGGAGACAGAAACAGAGAGAGAATTACGATAATGACTCTTTGAGAGAAGAGAGATGAGAGAGATGGAGAGAGATGCGGATAGAGAAGAGAAGGGTGAGGCAGACAACGAAGAGAACATAGAGCAGATGAACAGAGAGACAAGAACAGGGAGAACAGAACAGAACTAGAAGAGAGGGACCCAGACTAAAAAAAACATCTTTATGTAAAATAAGACAAAATAATAAAAAAAAAGTAGCCAATAAATCAATATCTACCACCTCATATGTGTTCCCAATCGCAAGGTCCTCGGATAAACCATAGCGATTTGTTATCAAAAAATCACTCACGTGCTGTTTCAAAGAAATTACTTGAAAAAACTAAATAAACCTTCGAGAAGATTGTATGATGACGATAGGACAGAGAGTATGATAAATAAACGCCGCAAACAAGAAATAGAGAGAGATAAGACAGAGAAAAGAGAAAGAGAGAGGAGAAGAGAAGAGAAGACGAGAGAACGAGAAGAAACAGAGAAGGGGGGAGCAAGGGAACAGAGAGACAGAGAATAGAGACAGACACAGAACCACACTAAAAAAGCAAAAAAAAAAAAAAGCAAAAAAAAATAGCCATATAATCAATATCTACAAAACTATAGTGTGTCCCATCGCGGAAGTCGATAACGAATGTTATCAAAAAATTCACTCAGTGGCTTGTTCAAAAAGGATACTGGAAACTAAAATAACCCCATGGAAGATTGATGATGACGATAGGACGAGAGGAGGATAGAGATTAACGCACACACACAATACGTACTAGTATATATATATATATATATATATATATATATAATTAATATATATATACTATATCGATCAGAGATGAGAGAGAGAAGAGAGAAGCAGAGGAAGAGATGAGACTAAGACATGAAGAAGACAGAAGAAGACAGAGACAGAGAAGAGACAGACAGGACAGATAGACAGAACAGAACATACAGGCAGAGACAAGACAGACAGACTGACCAAAACAGACAACAGGACAGAAGAGAAAAGCAGATAAATGATGAATTCTTCAAATAAAACAAACTCATATACAAAACTTTTCAAAAAACACTCAAAACCGTTAAAATCCAAGATGGCGACGCTGCCGAAGAGACCTCTGGCGGCCAACACTCAAAACTCAAACACGCCGCATTTTCTGGCCGCCGAAAAAAATGTCTATAAGGCCCATTTTCCTGCATGACGCCAGACAGCTCAAAATGTCTTGCAGTGTCTTGCAGTGACGAATGCCATTCCATGCAGATATAAAAGCAGGCAGAGGTTGGAGAGATGGGAACACAGGCGGAGCGAACAGGATACAGTTGGAATGAAATACAGGAAGGATTTGATGTAAATGCGTTGCGTGTGTGTGGCACCACCGTGTGGTGTGTGTGGTGTGTGTTGTGTGTGTGTGTTGGTTGTGTTTGGTGTGTGACTGTGTGTGGGCATGTTGTGTGTGCATGTGTGTGTGATGTGCATGTGTGTGTGTGTGTGTCATGTGTTTGTGTGTGTGCATGTGTGTGTGTGTGCATGTGGTGGTGTGTGATGCGTGTGTGTGCTGCATGTGTGTGTGTGTGTGTGTGCATGTGTTGTGTGTGTGTGTGTGTGTGTGCATGTGTGTGTGTGTGTGTGTGGTGTGTGTGAGTGTATGTGCATGTTTGGTTGCTTTGTTTGTGTGCTGTGTGTGTGTTGTGTGTGTGTGTGTGTGTGTGTGTGTGTGTGTGTGTGTGTTGGTGTGTGTTGTGTGTTGTGGTGTGTTGTGCATGTGTGGTGTGTGTGTGCGTGTGTGTGGTGTGCATGTGTGTGTGTGTGTGTGTGTGTGTGTGTGTGTGTGTGTGTGTGTGTGCATCTCGCCTGTTGTGCATGTGTGTGTGGTGCATGTGTGTGTGTGCATGCATTGTGCATTGTGTATGTGCATTTGTGGGTGGTGCATGCTTGTATGATCATTGTGTTGCACGTGTGGTGTGTGCATTGTGTTTGCATGTTTGTGTGCATGTGTCGTGATGCGTGCGTGCGTGCGTGTTGTGTTGCGTGTGGTGTGCGGTGTGGTTGCTGTGTGCTGTGTTGATCACACCGGTTGTGGTGCGTGTCGTGGTCTGCGTGTTGCGTGTGTGTGCGTGTGTTTGTTGTTGCGTGTGTTGGTTGCTTGCTGACTGTGTGGGTGTGTGTGTTGTGTGGTGTGTGGGGTGTGTTGTCTGTTTTTCTGTGTGTGTGGCGTGTGTGTCATGTGCATGTGGTGTTTCTTGTGTTGTTGTGGGTGACTGTTGTGACTGGATGGTGGTGTGTGTTACTGTTGGTGCAAACGCGTGACTGTGTGTGACTTGTGACCTGTGGTTGTGGTATGTACGTACCAATGCATATACTTTAACGAGAGGAATAGAGAGACCAAGGAGGGGCGGTGCACAGCGCACACGACGCAAAGGGATCATCATCCTACTGTTGCTGCCTTCTGGGTCCGGGGGGCGGCCACCCCCTGGGAGGGGGTTGGGGAGACGCCCCCCGGGAGGAGCCAGAGGCGACGTTGCGCCCTGAGCCTTGCCCGCGAGCCCCATCTTGCTCCTGCTGTCGTTTCGGCTGAGGAAGATCTTGGGGATGCCGAGCCTTGCCGCTGCTCCTGCCTGCTCTCGGCCTTCTCCCGCGCGACCCCTTGGAAGGGATGTCGCGTTGGCGCCCCTGGGCCGGGCGGGCTCCGCGCGCCCCAGCCAATCGAGTGCATTGCCCGCTTCAAGGCAGAGAGGGCGGCAGCAGGAAGCAGGCCGTCATTCGCTACCCTATGCCAGCGACCGGCGCGGCGGCTTCCCAGGGGCTTGTTCATGAAGGAGAACGTCCTGCGGAGGCTCGTCTTGGCGTCGGCGCCGCGCCCCGGCAGCCGCGCCACGGAGGACGACGCGCAGCTCCCCACGAAGGTCCCCAGCCGACTCGTCTTCTTTGGCCGCGTCCGCCGCCGGCTCCGCCCTCTCCGCGCCTCTCTTTGCCCCGACGCCCGCCCCCGCCGCGGCCTTGGGCGCCTCCCCGCGGGGCCTCGGCGGAGGCGCCTTCAGGCCGAGCGAGGTGGACGTGCGGCTGAGGCCCCGGGGGGGGGGCGGGCCCGCGCGGGGGGGCCAGCCTGGAGACGTCCCAGAGCGGGCCAAGGGGGGGCGCGAGGACGGCCCGGACCGGCTGGAGATGCTCGACCTCGGAGACTCGTCGGCCAGGCGGGAGGAGCTGCCCGAGGGCGAACTGCCTCTGCTGTGCCTGGCCTCGAGGGGACTCGGCCTCGCCAGCCGCGACGGGCGCCGACGCCGCTGGTGGGACGAGAGCCAGGGCGGGAGCCGGGGCGGGAGGCGGGGCGGGGGCCGGCGCTGAGCCTCGAGGCGGAGGGCGTCGGCCTTGGGAGGTTGCTCGCCCTCAGTGTAGTGGAGGCTCTGACGAGGCCTCCCCTGGCAGCGCCGGCGGCGGTGGACGCGGGTCTCTTGGCGCGGGACAGCGAAGACGTGGGCGCGGGAGAAGGCTCGGGCGGGCGCCTCGCTTGACGAGGGCGGCGGAAGTGGCGCTGCGGGCGCCCAGACCAGGCCTTCCCTTGGGGATCCGACTGCCCCCAGGCTCCCGCTGGCCCCGCTGGCCCCGCTGCCCCTGGCGCCCCTGGTGCCGCCCCAGCCCCATCTGCCCTTCTTCTGGCCGGGCTCTTCGGGGCGCTCTCCTTCGGCACCACCTTCGGGGACCTGGCCGGGCTCCTCGGGGCGCCCTCCTCGGCGCCACCTCGGGACCTGGCCGTTCCGGGGGAGGGGGAGTGTGGTGGAGAGGGGGGCTTGGGCGGGGCCAGGCTGGTGTTGCTGTGACAGAGGCTGGGTAAGCGCGAGAACTAAACCGGGCGAAGGAGCTACCTGCTTTCGCGCGAACGCCGAGCCAAGGAGCGCCCCCCAAGGACGGACAAAAGCCAACCTAAAGCCAACGGCATTTCCCTCTTCTCCGCGGCGTTTCCTAGCGACAGAGGCCTTTCCCGCAGCAATTGGCCTTGAGATGTGAACTTTACAATCCAAAAAGGTTATTCAATTAAATGCATTTTGTTACGTATACATCAAGACAAATAAACACACTTACAAAACACACACATACAATCACACACAAAACAAACAAACACGCATACACACACCAACTGCACATATGAAAACAACTAATTTAATCATTTGTAATAAAAAATAGCACAGCATTTCTGGGGTATTGTCAAAATCGAGAATATAACAATGATAATGGCAATAACAGTTATAAATATGATGGTTAATGGTATTGCTAATGGTAGTGATAGTGATATGAAAATTGCTTATGATTATGATAGAAACGATGATGACAATATCGGCGATGATAATGATGATATTGATGATATATGATATATGATATATATATATATATTGTATTTGTATGTATATACATATATACATACTTTCTCTTCTCTCCTCTCTCTCTCTCCTCTCTCTCTCTTCTCCTCTCTCTCTCTCTGTCTCTCTCTCCTCTCTCTCTCTCTCTTCTCTCTCTCTCTCTCCTCTCTCTCTCTCTCTCTCTCTTCTCTCTCTCTCTTCTCTCTCTTCTCTCTTCTCGCCCTCCGAATCACTTTTAATATAATTGATCATAAACCCCACATGTAAAGATTATATGTTAAAAAACTGAAAGATTAAACATTTGTTAAAAAAATTTTTAAAAAAAT